TATGCTACTCTCAGAGCTCTAACTCCAGATTCAGTAACACCGCGTTGGTAGCTCAAAATCAACCATGGCGGGAAACTAAATTGACACAGAAATTGGCAAATGCTCCCAGTCAGGTGTTGATTTGTCGTTTTGTTCATTCCCTGGTTAAACTTAAGAAAATAATGGGAAAAGTGTGAGTAATGTAGACTAAGTGTAGCGTATATTGTGTCAGTGGCCATTCTATTGTGAATAACATAAAACATTTGAGGAAATAGTCTTCCAATATTGGGAAACGATTCTGATTCTAAAAGAAGTCACTTGTGTCATTGACCAGTGAAGCTCTGGCGTGTGTCACTTTTGTTTCATACTCATTTTACTGTTAATGTAAATAAAAACATTGCCGGGGATTTGGCTCAGTGGTTCCACTGCCTGCCTCGCAAGCACAAGGGCTGAGTTTGATACCAGGTACCAAAAAACAAAGGAAAAAAAAATCAAAAATCAACTGCCAGGCACAGTGGCACATGCCTGTAATCCCAGCACAAAAGGATGATCATAGATCAGGGATATCACTAGGTAATTTAGTGAGACTTGTCTCAAATTTTACAAAAAGAGGGCCAGGGATTTAGCTCAGCCATTCTGCCACCTGCCTCGCAAGCACAAGGACCCAAATTCTATTCTTCGGTACCAAAAAACAGAACAAAACATTTAAAAAAATTACAAAAAGAATTTTAAAGGATTTGGGATGTAGCTCAGGGGTGGGGCACCCTCAGGTTTTATCCCCAGTACTGCCAAGAAAAAAAAATCAACACATCCATCTTGGAACTACACTTATTCATCAGTTGCAGCAATTAATTGGTTACTGATACAGGAGTTTGCCAAAAATCAATTAAAGCATTCTGTGAGAGTAAATTGGCCACATGCAATTTTCAACAAGGAATACTATATATTTTGTGTGTGTGATATGTGTCACTATCAGTTAACTTATACACACACACATCGTTTATTTCTGCACTTCTAGAAACTTACCATCGTAACACTGCTGACAGGCAACCCAAACTTAACACATCCTAAACGGAACTGAATTTTTCCATCCCTCGCCAGTTGCCCCTGCAAACATCCTCATTTCAATCAATAGCAAGTTTATCCTGCCTGTTGCTCTGATCAAAAACCTTATACCCTGCTGTGACTCTTCTCTCTCCTACTCTTTATCTAGCCTATTAGGAAATCCTTTTGTCTCTACGTTCAAAACCTATTCAGAGTCTAACTACTTCCCTCCCCTCCAGGGCTCACATGTGTGGGTTCTTGCATACCCTCCTGACCAGTCTCCTCATTTCAGTACTGCCACTGGGGTGATTCTATTAAAACATAAATGACAAATGTTCTATCCTTGGCTGGTGATGTAGCTCAGTGGTAGTGTATTTGCCTAGCATGCATGAGGTCCTGGGTTAATCCCCAGCACTGAGAAGAGAGAAAGAGGGGTTTGGGGGTGGGAATATCATTTCCTGGTTAAAAGCTGTCATTGTTTTCCCAGCTGACTCAGAGTCAGAGGCAGTCTTCATCATAGCATATAAGACTGTTCATTATCTGCACACCTATTCCATTGTCTTTCAGTGTCCCTCACTCTACTTCCATCACACTGGCCTGTTATTTAAGCACATCACACATCCATACTCTCACTTTGGGGCCTTTGCACTTGCTTCCTTTACCTGGAATGGTCTTCCTCTACTTTTACCCATTGTCTACTCTACTTTCTTTAGGTCTTTGCTGAAATAATACTTTCTTGATGAGGCTTCCTGATCATTCAGCTTAAAACTGCAATCCCTCCCAACTACCACCACACTGTCCTTCTCCCCTGCTAATAATCATTGTCTAAAGAACTATAGGTTTTGTATAAGTTTTAGTTTTTAATCCATTTTACACACACACCTCAAAATGTAAGCTTAAGAATTTTTTCTGTTTTTTTTTTCACTAGTATATAAAGGCCTTTAAGTAAGTTTCTTGTACATAGTGGATGCTCAACAATCTGTGGATAAAACAAAACATTAAGAGCATTTTAAGTACCCATTGAAGTCATTGAGGGCTGAGATGTAGCTCAGTGGTGCCATGCCTGCCTAGCAAGTGCAAGGTCCTGAGTTCAATCCCTGATACCAGAAAAAAAAAAAAAAATAAATAACTGAGCAAAAGTGTCATTGAGTTTATTATAAGAGAAGTGGTGGGGATCAAGGAGTGATATTCATTTGAGAGCCATCTGTGGGTTTGTCTGTGCCTGTGGGTCTCCCATGTGTGTAGATGGACAACCTGGAAATAACTGCTCTTTTGTAAACACAAAAAATTCATAGTGGACTGAAAATAAAAATGAGAAAATACACACTGTTGACCAAAATCAACAACACCTCATATCAGAGTCTAGCGTAGACAAGTAATAGAAGTCACCCAGAAGTGTAAGAAAAATGAGTATTTACCCAGTATCTAGTGTTATCCCAGGAGGATACTCAGATGCTTCAGATGCACACCTACCTACCCTCAAGATACCCCCAGTCTTGTGGGGGAGACAGCTACATGATATTACCATCGGCCACCAACAAAAAAAGGTGCATAAGTGGGTTCAAAGGTGGGAGAGAGGAGGGATGGATTAAGAATAACAACAGAGGGGGATATCTGAGCTGGCTTTTGAAGCATGAACAGGGGCCCCAGAAAGAAACTTAGAGAAAAACGTCACTATAACTTTTCCTTGCTTAGTGGAAATGTCCTCTTATATGGGTTTTAGTTCCAAATAGCTTGGCCAAACCTTGCAAACTCCTAGTTCTGTAAAGCAGAGTTTGGAACATGAAAGAAAAGCACAGATGACAAGAAAAGAGATCAGTGGTTTCACAGGGGCAGAGTAGCTATAAGTAGTCATAAGATCATCACTGATTGAAGGCAGCCACTAGAGAGGGGACAGAAGGAGTAGGAAGGGCAGGGGCCTTTTGCTTATGCTGTGGCCTTGCCTAGCAGAGCACTTATTCTTCGGTTCTCCACCTCTCCCAATAATTCTGTCCACTCCTAAAGACAGAGGACATCTTGATGGTACAGAAAGGCCTCACACTCTGAAATCCGAAGGCCTCCACTGTTCAAGTCTTATTAACTGTGTGACCTGTGCTCCACTTCCAACAGCCTTGCTGACGAGGCACTCAAGGCCCCTTCTTCCCCTGGACAATGATGACCCCTTTAGCCTCATCTGCCCCATGTCCCTGTCTACCTTCACAGACACTGTGCCTGTGCCGTTTGCCTTTGTTTTCCCAGCCTGAAGAATCCCCTTCTCTGAAGACACTCTGAGCCTCAGAGTAGTGGAGCTGCCACAGCAATAGACTAGACCTGCTCTAATTAGCCTTCTGTGGTTCTCAGTGCACCATGCTCCTCACCCCCAAGGACCTTTGCACTTGCTTCCCCGATTCAACCTGGTCAATTTCTATTTGTTCATCAGAATTCAGCTCCAAACTCCCTTCTCCTGGGAAGCCCTTTTTGGCTCCCTATGCTCTTTGGGGGGCTACTTACCATAATAGTTTTAGAACTAAATCTGAATTTTTTAATGCCTGTCTTTCCCTGGGTAGGAACCACAACTGTCTTGTTTATCACTGCATGAGAAAGCTGCACAGAACCGGTCTGAAGGAAGTGCTTGTTGACTGACTGCAGGAAGGCTTAACCCTATCACGTTCTCCTAAATCTCCTGTTTACCTCACTTAGAACTATCTCAGGGTCAGCCCCTAACCCTCTGCCTAACACTTCGTGGGAACTCTAGGGCTTTTCTGAGCCTTGGAAACATGAACAGTGCTGCCCCAAACTCTCCTATCATGGAAGACTTGGGACACCATCTGCTGGGAGCACAACCTTCACAAAGCCCCTCCAGGTGTTACTGGTGTGGGTTCTTGTACTTTCTACCAGAAGAATCAGACAGAAGCATTTTGGTATTCCCCTTTGCTTGAGCACAAGGGGAAAGGAGGGAAGAAATCCCAGGCTGATCCAAAGGAAAAGATTTACAACTTTTAAGGGATCTATGGGGTTGGCAGGGACTCAGGGTCTTGATGTCCTCGCACACAGAGATGGTTTGGTTGTGCCTGCATGCTTATCATGCCGCTTAAGGTGACTGTCTCATGACCGTCTTAAAGCCCTATCTTGGTGTGACTTGTACCATGCTAATAAAGGTAACTATAAGTTACTTTAGTGACTGGTCAGTGCATACATTGTCCCTTATCACCTGGAATTTGTCCTTTATCTCCTCGGAAAGTTAGTTCCTAATTGGATTTTGGAACAGATCACTCTTCGGCCTCGCTGGGTTTGAGTTTAATGATCTGGGTTTCTTTGGCTCTGGTTTCTTGCTATCTCTGCTCACTACATAGTTTTTGGAGGCTGAGCTGACTTCCCATCCTCCCATCTCCTGGTGTGTTACTCTTAATTTCATAGCCTTGAAGACTGGTTCTCTTTTTAACTACCAGTTCTGTGGTACGTCTGTCAACCTGCTAAGTCTGAGGAGTATGTGTCACAAAGCCAACCCCACAACCAGATGGGCAGGGACGGAAGGGTCTGGTCATCTTAGCTCATCAGCAGACAACTCTGACAGGCCATTCCGGCTCAGAGTCCTTGGGCCTGCAGGAGCTCTCCGCCTCTCCCTCTGACACCTCTGCTTCACTGGTGTTGAGGTCACAGATGCTTCTCCTGAATTCCAGTCTCCATCTCAGATCTGCTTCCTCTTCTCCGAGCTTTTTCATTCACCTAAAGTCTGCAGACATCCTTCGGTTATCAGTGTTTCCCATCCATTTTCTAGTACAGTACAATACTTCCATTCTATACTGCCTGGGTGGACTAAGGGAGGTTAGCCCCCGTAAATAGATGGGGAAACTGAGGCCACGGTGGTGGATCGACCAGCCCGAGGCGATGCACTAACTAGAAGCTGAGCTCTCCGATTTCCAGCTCCTTCTTCCTATCAAGTCCCAACATTTAGGAACAGAAGGGAATCCTCACTAAAGGGAATCCTTGTCCTGGTGATGAGAATCCGGAAATCCTGGAGAGCGGCTGGGGAAACCGAGGCCCTGAGCCGGCCCTCCACCACCGCGGAGGACAGTAAGGGGGTGAGTCCTG